AATAATAATAAGGGTTAAGTTGCATACCTCATTGGAAAGAGGGGTTTCGTCGAGTTGCAGAGTAATTCCATTCTCGGAAGCAATGGTTTTGAGCAAATCCATTCTACTCTCCAAATTTGGGTGCCTCGTGGAAAGTTTCTGCATTAACTACAGAAAACAGAGCATAAGATGAATAAGGAAACAGAGCATATAAAATCAATAAATGAAGTCAAACTCACCAAATGATTGACTCCACAGTTGTTGCGTAATTCAACTGCACGAGCAGTGAATTCCTTTCCGAAACGAGAGGTCAAAGCGGACTTAATCTCGTGAAGTTCAGGGAAATCCCCACATCTTGAAGCAGCAAATAGCAACCCTGCAAGCGCCTCTTTCAATTCCTCAGGGCATTCTCTGCATTCAACACCAGCAAATCAAATTAAATCAAACCCACTAAAATCGACCATTCAAAACAAAACAAGGAATCTTTAAGGAAGACTAGGAAAACCTTTCTTGTTCGAGGAGGGAGGCTCTTTCAATCAAGAGATTGAGGTACCCTTCTATCAAAACATACGCATCCAAGGCATTCTGGTCCTTGATCACTTGCTCCACCTATCAAAAAAGAAAGAAGAAATCAACAAAAATTAAAAAAAAAAAATGAGTGAAACAAAACATGAAAAGGGGAGGGAAAGAGAGAAACGAACTCGAAGAAGGGCGCGTTGTTGGTGGTGGAGTTGGAGGAGTTGGAGAACATCGGATTGAGCTTGAGAGCGCCTCAGACGGCGTTGGTTGGTGAGAATGGCAAGGCGAGAGAGGGTGAGGTTGAGAAGAGGGCGGAATTTGGAGGCTCTGAAATTCCTTCCGAGAAGAGCGTCGAGTGTTCTTCCCATGGTGAAATGGGGTTGAAGGTTTTGGGAGGTTTGAAGGGGAAATGGGTTTATATATGTATGTTGTTTCAGAGTGAAGGGGAAATGGGTTTATATATGTATGTTGTTTCAGAGTGAAGGGGAAATGGGTTTATATATGTATGTTGTTTCAGAGTGAAGGGGAAATGGGTTTATATATGTATGTTGTTTCAGAGTGGAAGGCAGTGTGAAGGTTGAAGCCGTGTGGGCGTGTGGGCGTGGGTTCGCTTTCTGTGTGTCGCTTACAGGCTAAGTTTTTGGAAGATGTTAGTGTGAAAAGGGGTGGAACATGAACACGCTTCTAATAACTGAATGCTGCCTTATCTAAATCTCAACATGATTGGATGACATTTAATTAGCAATTATTAATAAACGTGTGATTGTTAATAAAATAACAATAAACAATTGAAAATAATGATATTACAGCAAAACACAAGTTTCCTTCAATTTTACAAATTCATTTAGGTAACTGTAAAAATGTAAAAATGTTTAAAAAAAAAAAAAAAAAAAAAATTGAGTCTATCACGTATTCACCAACATCTCCTCTCATGGTTGTGCGCCTAATACCATAATGAGTCCTTAGATGAAGCCAATGACAAAATCAGCAAGCAGTCACAACAATTCAACTTCTTCGCCACGAGTTGCGTGTGACTACCGTTTATGCTTGGGTACTACACTCTTTCTTTTCTTGTTCTAGTTCTTGTTGCAAGTGCTTAGGCACTTTAGTCATGTTCTTGACTGAGTTCTTATCATGATCTAGCCTGAAGATCTTGGTCCTTTGATTCTGAGGTCTCAATCTTGATTCTGATCTAAGGACCTTAGTACTATGGTTCTGGGTTCTCATCTTCGAAACTTGGATCTTGATCCATGTTTTAGTCATTGATTGTTGTCTTGTTCTTGGTTACTTTCTTGGTTCTTGTTCTATTCTTGGTTCGTTATCCAAGACACTCCCTCTAGGATTTAGGTACTAGTTATAAACCTAAAAATTGTGTCCAAGCTTCATACGTTTCAAACGACACAGTTTGAACCTACGTCCAAAGCTTCATGCGTTTCAAGCGACGTAGTCTGAACCGCATTTAAGCCCTGCCCTGCAATACAGTCTGAAAAATTATGTTCAAGGCTTCATGCATTCCAAGCGGCATAGCCTGAATACCTATGCTCAAGGCTTCTTACATTCTAAGCAATGTAGTCTGAAAACCGACATCCAAGACTTCTAACGCTCCAAATGATGTAGTTTGCTCCTACATCCAAGGCTTGTCCTGCCATACAGCTTGAATATCTTTGCCCAAGGCTTCATACGTTCCAAGTGGCATAATCTGAATCATGAACATGTTGTGGGAGGTTTTAAGAGGTTCTTGATTCATGGCTAAGGTAATTTACTCTCTTCTTGTAGTTGTCCCTAATAGACCCTAGATTACTCCCCATGAAACACCAAGGAGGTCACATAATTGGTGTTAAACATGAACATAACATCCTACATTAATCATGATTAGGGTACTCTTATCTTGGTGCAGGACATCTCATCTAGGTGATGGAAAGGATGAGGCCGAATATGACATCCTGCTAAGAAAAACATGGTGCAAGACATCTCATTTAGAAGAGAAAAATATGGGCCTCGGAAAGAATTGCGTGGTGGGAGGTCATGGGCCACTTTGGGCATGATTGGAGTATTATCTAACATTCTTTCACATCATGATAACTTTAGAGCTTCTGTGGTATTGTTCCTAGTTATTTATCTGGTAAGTTTCTAAGGTTCTTAATTTCTTGAGTCATAAGTTGTCTTAAGCTTTTGAACCCATCATAGTAACATGCATGTATTATTTTAGACAGTCAAAGAGTCATAATATATTCTTTAGAGGGTTCTAGAAGAGTCTTGAGGTAAGAATTTGCTGTGGTATTCCCTTTAGCATTTCTTAGACCCTAACTTGGTTTAGGTTTCAAACTTGCTCTAATCGACTTGAAATCATAAACATCACATTATGTCCTTAGGAATGGGTCATATAAGAAGTAGCAACGGTTTTTAGTCCTTAAAATACCTTAAAAGGTCATAGGGGCATTTTGGTCCTTTTATGCCCTAATTCATGGTTTAACCTTTAACATGATTCAATAGCTTTCAAACTTTACCATGTCATTAATCATCACAAGATAGGCATAGTACAAAGTTTGATAGCGATTGTTTAGCTATCTAGTGACCACCACATTTCATATATAATATGCTCAACAATAAAATTTTATGGGCAACAAAGTTCATTTAAAATTTCACAAGTAACAGAGTTCATTTAGTAAATTATTTTAATGTTACTTAAATCTCAAGTAAATTGATTTGTTCACGCATTAACCCTCGGTTCGGGGTGTTTTCCTTTCATATTACCTTAATTCATATTTTTTTTAAGGTTCATACTAAATTTTAAGTGACTCCAACAAATATTTTTTAAGAAAAGTCTAAGATGCTTACTTACCTCATCGTTGACGTTCGGGACCTCTGTTCTCAAGCTTTTGGTATCCGAAGTACTTCAAAAATTTTTTCACATATTTCTTAGAGTGTCTAGTTTCTGGAACCATAAAATTTTTCATGAGAAATGATCTAGAAAAGGGTTAAAATTGAGAAAAACTAGGGAGGGTCACAGTTTGATTTGACATGACCCATTCAGTTAAACAAACGATCATGCCATCGTCTTCTTCCTCTGGATAGGGAGAAGACATCTATGGTGCATAACGCTACCTCCTGAAAACACTCCTCCATTGCTCCATTCAAAGCGTTTCTTCTCTCGATTTCTTCATGAAACTTAAAGATGGTGTTACAAGGAAGAGTCAGAGATTGATTTAAAACCTTCTTTTGGATTGTAGCTAAAGTTATTCCCCTTCCAAACTTCGTCGGAAAACTAATTCCTCATCGGAGCTTTACCCAGAAATATCTCATTGGGCAGCCGATTCTAGGGATTTTTAGGGTCCGGTTTCTTCATGGAACCTCTTCCTTATTCTTCACTCTAGCTAAAGGAATTGATTTGGTGGAACGTCTTTAAGTGTGGGACCTTAATTTTAAGAAATTTCTCTCAATCTGCTACTCGCCCAAAAAATGCAGAGGATCGATCTATTGGGTAGCTTGATCTAGGACGTTTTACCTCTCGATTTCTTCATCAAAGTTTCTCATCTCAATCCTCTAGAGCTAAAGAAGTACTCAATTTGAAGAAAAATGGAACATAAATAGGAATTCGATACTTAACTGTAGATTATACCTGCAACTGATTTTCTTCAATTGGGCAAGTTCTTGGAGTTAATTCTCTTCATGGTCTTCTATGGAAATACTCCTTGAAGGTGTAGAAATTAATTGGGATTAGTTTCACTCGATGAATTTGATTGTATTCTCAGATTCGATTTTCAAGGTTTCTTTAAAGTTCTTCAATGTCGGGAATGAGTTTGTAATATCCAGCTGTCCAAAGAGACATAACTAAATAAAATAAATGAATAAAATAGAACAAAATGAAATAAAAAAAAAAAAGAAAAAAAAAAGAAAAGAAAAAGAAGGATATGACAGGGAGTCATGGGTCACTTCAAAAGAAAGAAAGAAAAAAAAAAAAAAAAA